ATATATTAATTTTTATTTGTTAATATTAGTCAGTGCACGTGTTTGTACTTTGTTATTCTATTTTCAAAAACTAACATAGAAAGAAATAGATAAAACCAATAAAAAATTATATATATATTATATGTTAGCAATAATGAAAAAATAATTGAATGAAATTAAATTTGAATTTGTAAATAATACATTATATGTACTTAATAAATTAATAAATAAAAAATATAATTGCTTAATAATCTCTTATATAAAATGTTTTTTTTAGAAAAATTAATATTTTACTTAAAAATTAAAAAGAATTTAATATATAATTATAAATTTTTAAACATTTAAATATCAAGTAATGTAATCAAAAAATTTTAAAAATCTTTCAAAAAGTTTTAATGAGCTAATGTAAAAAAAAAATTTATTACTTTTATACTATACTGATTGTTATAAAATTATAATTTATTGATTAGTACTATAAATTTTTACTATGTAAATTAGTAATATAAATCTGATCTATATAACTTTTTTCTCCAAATTTTAATTAATTATTGAAATTATTTTTCTTTTTATTATATTTATAAATTCTTATTAAATATTTTTTCATTATGTTTGTAAGTTTTTAATTCTTAAATGCATATTATTAATTGAAACTTTTTTATAATTTTTTGTTACATTAAATTAAATGTAATATTATTATATATATTATAAATAAATTATAAATAATAATACTAATAATATCAATAATAATTATTTTTCAAGAAATCTGCTTATATTAAAATCTTTTTTCAATAATATTTTAAAGAAATAATAGAATTCATCATGATGAGATAATCTTTAAGAATAATTTTCTTTTATATTTATGCTGTAAAATTTTCTTTATGTAAGAATACAATGTATATTAAAAAATTTTAAACTTTAACTATTGATTTAAAATATATTTTTTTAGCAATTCCTTAAATATCTTTTTTTTTATATAGTTCCCAACATTAAAATTAAAACATGTCCATGTCAAGGACAAAAAAAATTTATTAAGGACAATAAACACAATGTTGACAGGTGGATGTAATTCTTTACAGGTACAATGTTTTTAAACAATTTAATTAATATTTTTTTTTAATATTAATTTTTTATGCGCATAAATTTTTATTT